CATTTGGACATGCGAGTGTAATATCGCATAGCATTTCGTGAATTTTGGGGTGTAAAGAAGAAATTTGACGGGGTGGTGTGAAAAAGAAAGAATAGATATATAATGGGGTGAAAAAGATTTTGACCCTTATTCATATATATGTTGATTTCATAGTTTGTTATTAATTGTGCTGAGTATTCAGTGCCGGTTCCGGCGGAGCACCGTTGATTCCTTTGTGCTCACGCCTCCCCACTGCCCTCTTTTTCAGGTGACGAAGCGTGTGCAGCGTGAGCAGATATGTGGTGTTGGTCCAGCTTCAGGACATTTTTGTGAAAACATGTCATAGTATTTGAACATGTTGAATTATCTATGTCTGTTTTATGCTTGTGTGTCTTTTGAACTTGTACTTGCTTCCGAATGTTAGACTTGTGTTTCAGATGTCAGATTTCAGACTACTATTTCAGATTTCAGATTATGCCAGACTTTCAAAATATGCATGCTTAATCCGGTATTATTCATGGCCTTAATTCTAGAATGGATTTCACTTGGTCACATGCATTTAGATTAGAGAGATAAAGATTAAAATATAAGATTACAGTTGAGTAGCACCCCGTGTTTTAAGTTAAAGTATTTTCGAAAAATTAATATGAATTTTCGAAAATTAAAGCAGTGCTTTCCAATTATAACGCGAAAAATTTACTCTGATCTTAGTAAGTTTAGGCGGGGTGTTACAGGGGGAGAAGGAGTCATTGAGGAAGTATGTTGCTCGATATAATCAGACGTGTTTGGAGGTGCACTCGGCCTCAGATAAAGTGAATGTGGGAGGATTGATAAGAAGTCTTCGAGCAGGGCCTTGCTGAACTTCCCTAGCAAAGACCCCTGCTCGATCATATGAGGAGGTTTTGAAGCGTTGCAGGAAGTATATTAATTTAAAGGAAATGGAGGTAGAATTCGCAAAGTTGGAAGGGTCGGCTCGACCAGAGCCAAAGAAGGAAAAGAGCCCGCAAAGGGGAAGATCGTCGGGGAAAAATTTGCCCAGGAGGAGCGAGCAGAAGAGGGCCTCGCCCCGAAGAGAGAGTCGAGATTCGAAAAAGGAAAAAAGGGACGAGTGGCAGGGAGGCCAATGTTGTTCGAAAGGCAGAGGTACCACACTTTTACGCCCCTGAGGAAAGATATGACAGAGGTGCTCGAGGCTATGGAGCAGAAGATGCCGAGCGAGGATGTGACCTGGCCGAAGAGGTTTACAGACCCAATTCGACCTAGGTCAGATATTTACTGTCGTTTTCACCGAGATTACGGTCATACCACGGAGAACTGTAGACATTTGAAGGATGAGATCGAGAGGTTGATTCGAGCTGGATACCTGAAAGAGTTTGTATATCAGGATAGAGCAGAAGGGAAGGGAAGGAGAAGGTGTCAGGAGGATTCGGAGGAGAGAAGTGACAGGGACGAGGAAGGAGGCGACGGAGATGGTCGAGATGGTCGAGGAAAGAAGCCGAGGAGAGATGGCGATAAGGGAGGGCATGGAGGAGAAGCCCCGATGAAGAGAGGGACGATCTACATGATTTTCGGAGGGCCAACAGATGGCGACTCGAATAGGGCCAGGAAGGAGCATGCTCGAGCTGTGAAGAGGAAGAGAGAGGAGGTGGGGATTACGGCTCGCATGCCGGTAATATGTTTTAAGGCGGAGGATGCCTAGGGGGTGGTCCTACCGCACAACGATGCTCTGGTGATAACCGCAGAGGTTGCAGGCTTTGACGTGAAAAGAGTGTTTATCGATACTGGGAGTTCGGTAGACGTGTTGTTCTATGACTGTTTTGTGCAAATTAACAAGGAGTTGAATATGGAGTTGAAACCGGTGACCACGACACTTTATGGTTTTAATGGAGGAGAGGTGATGCCGATGGGCGAGATAAGCTTGCCAGTAGCATTGGGGGCAGGAGAGCTAAGGAAGGTGCACATGGTGAGGTTTGTGGTCGTAGGAGCTGAATCATCTTATAACATTATTATGGGGAGGACGAGCATGAATGCGTTCCAGGCAGTCGTATCCACGTACCACATGACGATTAAGTATCCTGTGGGCGAAAACGTAGGGGAGATTGCCGGGGATCAACTCACTTCGAGGAGCTGCTATCAAACAACAATGAGAAATAACAAGTAACTGGCGAGGAGGCAGACCAAGTCGAAGGAGGAGAAGATTAGTCGACCAGGGGGGTCGAGGACAAAAGAGGATAAACCAAGAATGGAGAAAGGTAAAGAGAAAATGGATATCCAGCCAGGAGGAGAAGTCGAGGAGATCCAGATGATCGAGGGGTGCGAGGAGAGGAAATTCCGAATTGGGAAGGACTTGGAGGAGCCTATTCGGTCAAGGTTGATCGATCTAGTTAGGGAGTTCGCTGACGTTTTTGCTTATACAGCGGAGGAGTTGATAGGGATAAGTGCGGAGGTGATCGAACATCGATTGAACATCGACCTCAGTGTGAGGCCGGTGAAACAGAAAAGAAGGCACCATGGGGCAGAGATGGACATGATCATTGAGAAGGAGGTCGAGAAGCTATTGGGAGCGGGACATATCAAGGAGATCCAGTTCTCCGAGTGGTTGTCGAATACGGTAATGGTGTCGAAGGCGGAGGGAAAATGGAGGATGTGCATTAATTTCCGTGATCTGAACAAAGCATGCCCAAAGGACTTATACCCACTGCCCAGAATCGACCAGCTGGTCGACTCGACGGCGAGGTGCGAATTGCTGAGCCTGATGGATGCCTCCCAGGGATATAATCAAATTCCCTTGGCGAGAGAAGACAGGAAGTGGGTGAGTTTTGTAACGAGTCGGGGAACCTATTGTTACGTAGTGATGCCGTTCGGCCTGAAAAATGCTGGGGCCACGTATCAAAGGCTGGTCGATAAAATCTTTAAGGAGCAACTTGGGAGGAACATAGAGGTATATGTGGACGATATGTTGGTAAAAAGCAAGGAGGAAATGGACCATGTGAGGGACTTAAGGGAAACATTCATGACTTTGAGGAGGTACGAAATGAAGCTGAATCCAGCTAAATGCTCGCTCGGGGTGAATTCAGGCAAATTCTTGGGTTACTTAGTGACCAAGAGGGGTATTGAAGTGAATCCCGAGAAGGTTTGAGCCGTGATGGAGATGAAGCCGCCAGCGAATGTTAAAGAAGTGCAGATCTTAGCTGGTCGCATTGCAGGGCTGAGTCGTTTCATATCGAAGGTGGCGGAGAAAAGTGGCCCATTATTCAAAACGTTGAAGCAGAGTGCGAAATTTCAATGGACGGAGGAGGCGCAGAGGGCGTTTGAGGAGTTGCGAGGGGTGTTAGCCAACCTTTCCTTATTGGCTAAACCTGTACAGGGCGAGGAGTTGGTGCTATACATTTCTATTGGAGAGTGGGTTGTGAGTTCGGTGTTATTACGAGAGGAAGGGGTAGCACAATTTCCTATCTATTACGTGAGCAGGGTGATGCAGGGGGCAGAGATGAGGTATTCGGAGATCGAGAAGTGTGCTTTGGCAGTGGTCGTAACTGCTCGAAAGTTGAGACCTTATTTCTTGAATCATAAGGTGAAGGTGCGAACAAACATGCCGCTGGGAGAAACACTTGGCCGACCATCAGTCTCTGGTCGATTGGTGAAATGGGCGGTCGAGTTGAGTGAGTATTCTTTATTGTATGAACCGAGGAGGGCCATAAAGGCGCAGGTGTTGGCCGATTTTATCCAGAAAGGCAGAAAGTCGAGGAGGAGTCAGGAGGAATATGACAGTTGTTTATGGATGGATCAGTGGCACGAAGCGGGGCAGGATTGGGAATTGTCCTTGTCTCTACTAAGGGCGATTACTTGGAATTTGCGGCTAAAGTGGGGTTCAAGATATCCAACAACGAGGCTGAGTATGAGGCAGTGATCAAAGGCTTGAGTCTAGCCAAAGCGAAGGAGCCCGAAAGTTACAAGTGCATTCTGATTCTCAGCTGGTGGTCGGACAGTTTCAAGAGGGGTTTGAAGTTAAGGAGGACCGGATGCAAAAGTATGTGGATGAGATGAGGAAGATGAAAGAGGAGTTCGATTCATTCGAGCTAATACAGATCCCTCGAGGGGAAAATGGTCGGGCGGACCTGTTATCAAAAATTGCTCAAAGCTTGGTGGACTGTAAGAGCAGAAGTGTCACCTTATTGCATCTCGAAACGAGTATGGTCGAAGCAGAAGTGGCGGAGATTGAGGAGGTGGAGGATTGGAGGGCCCCGATCTTAGAGGAGCTGAAAGGGGGAACGATAAAGGCGATGAGGAGATTTTTCGAACATGAAGGCATTCTTTACAAACGGTCGTATGCGAGACCGCACCTGCGTTGTGTTACTAAGGAGGAAGGTCGATATGTACTGAGAGAGATGCACGAGGGATGCTGCAGTGATCATAGTAAGTCAGGGGCCTTGGTTGCAAAAATTTTGAGGGCAGGATATTTCTGGCCGACGATGAGGGAGGATGCGAAGGTAATGGCAAAGAAATGCTTACAATTCCAAAAGCATGGCCCCCTTATCCACCAACCGGCAGAAGCAATGACGACGATGGGTGCCCCTATACCATTCGCCCAGTGGGGTATCGACTTGGTGGGGCCGATGCCTCAGGGAATGGGGAAGAGGAAGTTCTTGATAGTGGCGGTGGATTATTTCACAAAATGGGTGGAGGCCGAACCCTTGGCAAAGATTACGGAGGAGAAAGTAATTAAATTTCTATACAACAACATTTGCTGCCGGTTTGGCGTGTCCAAAGTGTTGATTTCTGACAATGGTACTCAGTTCAATGGCAAGCGGATTCGAGCATGGTGTGAAGACATGAAAATCGAGCAACACTTTGCCTCCGTGCTCATCCGCAAGCCAATGGCCAGGTCGAGGTAACCAACCGAATTATACTGAATGGGCTGAAAACAAAGCTGGAAAAGGCCTCGGGAGCATGGGTCGATGAGTTGTGCTCGGTGCTTTGGGCATATCGCACAACCCTGAGGTCGACAACAGGAGAAACCCCTTTCAGTTTAGCTTATGGAATGGAAGCATTGCTGATGGTCGAGGTCGAGCTATCATCCCAGAGGTCGAGCACATATAATACCGAGCAGAACGAAGATCTAATGATGGCAGCCCTGGACACTATCGAGGAGCTGCGTGGAAGAGCAGCAATCAGGGTGGAGGCGTACAAATAGAGGATGCGAGCCGCTCATGACAAAAAGGTGAAAATTCGCAGACTCCAAGTAGGCGACCTGGTCTGGAAACGCGTCGATGTGCTCAAACATGTGGGAAAGCTGGAGCTGAACTGGGAAGGGCCATACCTGGTCGAGCGAGTGCACGCAGGAGGAGCGTACTCGCTGAAGGATGCTGAAGGCCGATCACTTGCTTGGTCATGGAACATAGCTAATTTGAAAAAATATTATGTGTGAAAATTTTTCGTTTTTTTTTTAAGAAAGCTAGAAAATTCGAACAAAGATGTAAATTGCAAAGTTTGCTCAAAAGTCAATGAAGTTCAGTGATTTCTCGGATTTTACTCACTTTATTGCACATTTTCTTATGCTTGGAATGTTGGTATAATTTGGATGACAGGATGTATGTGGTGTGGTTTGACTTGGAAGTCACTTGTTTAGAACATCCCTTGGGGTGGGCAGGTTGGTCGAAGACCTCTTGTTTAGAACATTCCTCGCGGGTGGGCAAGTGTGAAGACCAAAACCCACCATGACTAAGGCCCTCAGGCTGGGTGGTCACTTGTTTAGAACATCACTTGGGGTGGGCAGGTTGGTCGAAGACCTCCTGTTTAGAACCTTCCTCGCGGGTGGGCAAGTGTGAAGACCAAAACCCACCATGACTAAGGCCCTCGGGCTGGGTGGTCACTTGTTTAGAACATCACTTGGGGTGGGCAGGTTGGTCGAAGACCTCCTGTTTAGAACATTCCTCGTGGGTGGGTGAGTGTGAACGCAAATTCCCCGTAACGAAGACCTCATGGCCAGGTGAAGACGCATGAAGACAGAGGCACAGAGATGAGCGCGACTTCAAGCCCAGAGGACGAGCACAAAAGCATGAGTGTAAAAGAGAAGTTCAATGGCGCAGAAAATCCATCATGTTTAAGGCCACGAGGCTGGATGGTCGCATGCTTCAACCACCTCCAGGGGTGGGCATGTGTTCAAAAATCAAAAACCCATCACATTTAAGGCTGTGAGGTTTGATGGTCGCATGCTTCGACCACCTCCAGGGGTGGGCATGTGTTCAAAAATTAAAAACCCATCACATTTAAGGTCGTGAGGCTGGATGGTCGCATGCTTGGACCACCTCCAGGGGCGGGCATGTGTTCAAAAATTAAAAACCCATCACATTTAAGGCCGTGAGGCTGGATGGTCGCAGGCTTCGACCACCTCCTGGGGTGGGCATGTGTTCAAAAATCAAAAACCCATCACATTTAAGGTCGTGAGGCTGGATGGTCGCATGCTTCGACCACCTCCAGGGGTGGGCATGTGTTCAAAAATTAACAACCCATCACATTTAAGGCCGTGAGGCTGGATGGTCGCATGCTTCGACCACCTCCAGGGGCGGGCATGTGTTCAAAAATAAAAACCCATCACATTTAAGGCCGTGAGGCTAGATGGTCACATGCTTCGACCACCTCCAGGGGTGGGCATGTGTTCAAAAATTCGAAACCC